AAAAATTAAATTACCTATATTATTATTTTAATGGCTGCATGACTAGATGGCAGGATTTTACGCGGTCGTAGTTTTATCATCGATTAGTTCTGTCCATTAACTAATTATAAGTCCATTCCATTGACAGAATTGATCGATGAAACAGTAATAAAAATGTGGCAACCATGTCAAATTTTATGCTCTCGTCAGAAAATCCTAAACTATCCCTTTAACTCGCTTTTCATTTGTCATTCTGAACGATGACAACTGTGCTGAAGGCAATTGCAAAGAGAATGACTAATATTCAATGAGAATATATCATATTGAATATTCGTATAAAATTTCAATAAAGTATATTCAAATATGTTGTTAAATTCTTGATAAAGTTGTAGTAGTATATCCGTATACTACACGTGGTAGTAAATGCATGAACACGGGGTTTAGACGACTATGATTCCTAAAAGAAATAATACTCATTTATATTAAACAAAACGATGATTAGTAGCAGAGACTGAAAGAGCAATTCAAATGCGAACTCTCGAATTGAACGAATCGCAACTCCTTCGAATATACGTCAATCATATAATTTATTATACAAAATTAGATTCTGCAAGTCTATTTTATATTTAATTTATATTAATTCTCGTACAATGAATGCCAGATTATTTTAACGTGAAATACAATCTCTTTAATAAACGTTTTGTTCCGATAAAAGTTTCTCTGAATTAAATGATTGGAAGGAAATTCAGGTGATTGAACTTTAATTTTTATGCTCTAATTATTTTATAAGAATATCAACAAAAATCTTAGAGTTCACTTTGTATCACTTTCAATCACTTTCACTTTGAAATGTTGTAAAAATGGCTCCATTTTCGACGGATTCAGCGCCTTAAAATAGTGCAACTTTATCTTGAACATTTTCATCTTAAAAGCAAAAATACAGCAGTTTAATACTTTACATGCTACAATATGTAATACATTACATTGTATTTATATACTTCGCGTATGCTTCACACGTTTTCTAATTATATTCCGATTTGCATATACTTTTCATGTATTGAAGAAGTAATTTTGTGAAAAATTTATATTGTCGCACGCACGAGATGAACGATTCGTAATTGCGGAGTGGAGGAGCTCGCGTACATATTTTCATAAGGATGCAGTGACAATTAACGCTGTCAGTCGAGTAAAAAGAGAAAGTGGTTGAAGATGTTAACTGGAGAAAAGAAAGTAAATTAACAGCATCTGTTGGATCGGTGGTACGATGAAAATTTAGCGTTAAAAGGGTGCAAAGGTAGATTCTTTGAGTGATAAGTGGAAGTGAGAAAGCATGAGGGGATTGAGCGTGGCGCGAGTGAGAGAGAGTGCGCGAGGCGGACATATATGGTTGCGGGGTCTGAAAAGCTCTCAGGTTACGCCGACGGCGTTAACCGTTTTCACGATGATGTTTGCTCTTCTTGTTCCTCTATCATCTCACTCCCTCTTTCTCTTTCTCTCCCTCTCCTTTTGTTTGTATTTCTCTTTTCTCCTCCTCTGTCTGTGTCCTCTGTCTTCTCCTCTCTTGCTCTTCTTTCTTTTCTTTCTCAAATCGCGCCTTTCGATCCCGTAGTCTTCTCTCTTTCTCGCGCGTTCACTCGCGATCCCGGTCATTCGTGTGCACACGCAGAATCGCATTTTCTTCGTCGCGCCACGACCAAAAATACCGGTGGTCGTGCAGCCACAGGGTGAAAAGGAGAGGCAGCTATACACAGGCGTTATTTACGCGACGAAGACAGGCGGACGAAGCGCGGTGTGTGTCGCCGCCGCAAAATGCCGCGCGAGAGAGAGAAGGGGTGAGGTTTCCGTTATTTCGAGATTATCGGGGATTGCCTGCTTTTTGGAATCGTGCCGATCGCCTCGTCCATTCTCGATATCGAAACGGCTTCTTGATCTTGCTATACATTACCAATAAGTTAAATCATCCGCGGAAATTATTCGTTTTGACACTCAAACTGTAGCCAATAACGGAGGATACTTAACGACGAATATATTATATCATATTACGTTAATTCCGCTGTTACAGATCAGACATTGAAATATAATAACCAGACTGCGGGCCTCTGTGCAACTTCGTATTTCTGCAAGCACAATTAAAATGGAACCTAAGTAGACATGTGTCAAATATATAACAAATACTCCGAAATTACTCTATAAATACTATGTTATTTTTAAATCTCTTATAAATGCACGAAAAT